AATAGAATTCCATTTGTCATTAAATGCTTTGCTCAGTCATCTCTTTATATAATTAGGTAAATTTTCCATCACTGCATTCTCTGAAAACTTATTTTTCCAATCTTCAGTTGTCTGGGAGTCTCTTGCTTCCCATTTAAAGGCAATTGTAATTCTTGTTGCTGTTGTCATATATTTAAAAAATTCTGGCATATCATTTGAAAAAGTCTCTGACATATTAAATCGCATATTCTCAGGACATATAGGAAATTGTTTTACTTTTTTTTTTTATTTCTGCCAGTATCGAATTCCAACATATTTTAATTGTTTCACAAGTACTGCACATTTAGTAGAAACTCCCATTCATCCTGTTATGCTTCCAACATTTTCCATTATACTATTTATCTATTTTTCTACATATTTTGGAGTAATGTACACCCAGTAAAAGGACTTAATACAATTTTCTCTTCATGCTTGGTTAGATGTAAATTTAATGTCTTTCTTCCATGAAGCTTCCCACTGGCAAGCTGATATAACTTCCTCATTATTTTGTTTTCAAATTGTGATACATTTCTTCTCTTTATGATTTTCAGTGTCCAGCTGTATTAACATTTTGTAAAGTCTTCCTCATAAATGATCCTTTTGTTGTGTAATCAACTTTTGAAAACTGTCTAATCTCTTACAGTACATTTCCCAGACTGTATTTCCCGTTTCAATCTTGAGACCAGTTGGTGATAAACATACAATTGTATATTCTTTCCTTCATCTTTTAGTTGTTACCAAGTTTTGATTACTCATTTTTGGTCCATCATATCCCCTTAGATTTTTAGAGCATTATTTTTCCTTAAGTATTTTCTGTATGCTCCAAGTGGGTCATGAGGAGAGATTGGATGACTAATTATTTTTCTCATGAAATACCACACTTTTATTAGACCATCTGAATGCATGGTTATTATTTGAAATCAAGGGCATTTTGACTGACTCTTTAACTCTTAAGGGGTTAATCCCATCTGCAGGATGTGCTAGTTCTAGCTTCACTAGCCTATCAGTAGCATTTATGATCAAATCAGTCATCCAAAGCGGGCCAGCTATGTAGCAGTATAGCTTTGAATTAGGGACTGCAAGGCCTCCTTCTCTTTTTCATCCTTCAGGACTTTTTATCTAATCCAAATGTCAGCTTTTTGCCATTCCAAATAAGGTATTTCGTAGTCTCTGCCAGTCCTGGAGAACTTTTCCCAGTATATCAATTGGTATCATCTGGAATAGAAAATTCAGTTTTGGTAGTGCATTCATTTTTAGAATAGAAACTCTTCCCATTCCAGATACTTTTAGTTTGGTTGATTGGCACCAGGCTTCTGTTCGGGGATCTCGGGTTGCTTCGGAGAAGATAGGAAGGGTGTGAGCTTGAAGCCTGCACATTTCTAATTCTATTCATCCCTTTGAATGTTGAGATGTTCTTTGGAAAATACCCAGAAAGCCAAAAAGAAAAGTTCCATACCCATTTTCTATTCCACTCTTCAACTTTCTATGTAAAAGATCCTTTCCCCACTTTAGACAGAGAATGGGCCCTTCTTAAATTTTGCATCCGTAGTATCACTTGACAAATAAATTATATTTTGGACTAGGGAAAATATGGTAATGCATTTTGGAGCAGAACAAAACTGTGTTGGTGAAGGAAAACACATTTGTTCCTGAGACAGACAAACTATTTATCTAGTCCATCTCTCCTGAATAGTGATGGTGTCTTTCCTTCTTTCCTGCCAAGAACTTCTGCTAAAGATGGATCTGGAGCTTCTGTTTTAACAACAGATGTTCTTTTGTCCCTTAGGATAAAATGAGAACAAGATACCAATCCTCATGGGACTTTTCTTAGGGTAACTCCAACACCAGCAGCCTAGTACCTAAGGCTGACCGCACATCCCTGCAAGACCCTCAGGTCTTGCTGCACCAGAACGAGAAGAAAATAAGAAAGTTAGCACTCTTTTACTCTATCCACATGCCATAACTTCTGGTCTATAGTCAAGACTTGGGCAGGGAAACAACAAGTCTCTTTTCCACTAAGGGATGGAAGCATCACTGGGAGGGGAACTGAAGATGTTCTCATGCTTCAGCCCTTAGCCCTTTATCCCCTGCCTCCCCAGATTCTGTCTGCTGACTGGTGGAGTGACTGCAGATCTCCCAATCCACCATCCCCATTTGGCCATGTGCCGTTGTGACTCTGGCCTGTATAAATTGGAATGCAATTTACTCCCTTAAACCTGACTGTTGGCTCCAATTGACTTGCTTAGCCATTGGAATTGCTGAGCAGTAGAAACTCCTCTTTGGACAGAGGCCAAAGGTTTGGTCCTCATCTCACAGGGATCTTAGCTCCCTCCTGACTGTGACTGTTTTAGTGAAGGCCAAGAATAAATCTCAGGAGAGTTGGGTGATAAATCCCAGCTAGGCATGGGTCTGTTTTACTGAGATCACCAAGAAGAGAAATATCAGGCATTCTGGGTGCAGAGTGTCTGAATGCAGACATGATGATTCCTAGCAAAGGCTCTTGTTGGCTTGCCGGGCAGCCTTAACTATTGGGTTAGGGTTAAGGCTGGGGTTTCATAGCAATAAAATTAATTCAATTAATTAGTTAATCTCTAGCTGGTCAGTCCGCTATGGGGTCCTGCATCTCCAAACCACAAGAATTCAGAGATTGAAAACTTAATTGAACTTCTGGGCAAGCAGGGCATAGCAATCAGTCCCATCATCGATGGTGGGCTGTTCTAATTTGACCAGCAGGATTCCATGGGTTCTGAATGTGCAGGCCTTTCTTCATGACATGCCACTGTTCTGTTACAACCAGGAAACACCCCTTTTAATTTTGACTCAACTTTATCATAGGAATTTAATTTGACCCAACAATACCATAGGAAATGTTGGCCTGAGCCTGGTCTCCATTCTGGATGGTGAGGAACAGAAGGATGCAGGACCAAGGGCAGAAAATGGCTACTCAGCTCAAGTCCCCAATGACTGCAGAAAAGAAACAAGTGAGACAATGCTGTTTTCCACCACTGCAGTTCTCAGGCTGTGTTTATTTCTTTCCCCTGAAATTAAGGAAATCACAGAAGTTCCTGAGCAATTCCAAAGGGATATCAGTCCAGGAGGTCAATCATACAGAGATCCCTGAGAAAGTGCGCCTGGCATAAATATGATCTGGGCCCCTCAACGTCAGGCTGTGGTTGTGTCCAGTCACTGCACATCCCTTCCTAAAATCCAGTCCCTGCACTTTCTGTGCCTGAATGACAGGGGAGGTACAATTCTCTGCTCTGCTGATGATCTTGCTGGTCTTCCTGCTTTGGCTCCTTCCTCAGGCCACACAGATGATGCCAAGGACCAGCTGCAAGTTGAACCGGCTGCCTGCACAGCCAAAAGACTACCACCAGCAGGGAGACCTGGTTGTTGGTGGGAATATACTACTTGGCAGATCCTTCTATACAAAAGAAAATGATTTCCATACATTTCCCAGATTAAAGGCCACATATTCCACTTTGTAGGTTTTCATCGAAGGTATCTGGGATGCATGTTTGCTTTTGCACCAGGGGTCTCATTTTTGGAAGTTGTGTCAGAGATGCTGCTCAAGAGGTATAGGTTAGGCAGGAAAGTCTCCATGAAGGCCCTCAGCAGCTTGTGGTTTGTTCACTGGACTCATCCAGAGGGGAGGAGTGCAAGCAACAGAATGAGAGAAAACCAGCAGTTTTTTTCTTGTGTGGACAATTTCTTGAAGATGAAAAGCAGTGCAAACATTCCTGCCCTAAGCAGATCCTATCCAAGGCAGAGATGGGAAGGTGGGTTCTGCTCTGAGATCTACGTGAAGATCACTTGAGCTCCAAGAGGAACCCAGCCAGACTTTCTGACTACTGGCTCTCTCAACATAGTTCCAAAATGCATTCCATCCCACCCCAACTTTGCACCTCATAAGAAGGAAACAGTGGGTAGGCTTCACTGGCTTTTATAGTTGAAGTGATCAGGAATCAAAATGACTTCCTTGGCCACAACAGTCAGAATTCATTAGCTTCATGCCCATGTTTCTCAAGTAATGTGTAGGCACTGGACTAAAGACTTCCATAAGGTCTTAGAATTGAAGCAGAATTCAATTAGACTTCACCACAAAGGCAGCAAACTCCCTTCAACTCTCAAAAGTATTTTTCCTGCGTTATATACTCTAGACAACAACATGGGGCAACTCATCTGTAGTTACTTGGATCTGAAGAAAATTAAGAGATGCAGCCAGAGACTTTTCCACTTTGCTGAGAGATCCACAGTCCATCTAGTTTGGCATCTCCTACTATGGGTGTCAGGGGATTGCCTTCCATAGGTGCTAGGGACCAGTAAATCCATTAAGTGTGGCTTCTCAGGGATCTCTTTCTCTCTCTTCTTGTCTGTCAGGATTACTTGGATCTGCCAAAGTCAGAGCCTGAGAGAATCTGCAATTGAAGGGGTTGCTCACTAAATCCTAGTCCATGTGGTCAAGCAGTTTGAGCAAACCAGGCTTGCTCAGAAGATGTTTTACATCCTCTCATTGCTTTAGTGCACTCACACCAACCATGTCCACACCGAGAGGGAGCTGACGTCCAGGGTTTGGAGGGAGGGTCTTCCCAAGCCCTCCATGGGGGTTCCAGAATTCATCTTGGAACCCCTCCCAGAGAATCATGGACCCTTACCTATTCCCTGGTCATTATTAATGAGTTCTAGATCACTGAGCAAAAGCTGACAGTGTGTCACACAGATTTTAGGGATTCCCTGAAGGCTCATGGATTTAACTTTGCAAGAAGGACTCTTGCACCACTATTAACATGAATAGAATTTGTCCATGAGATGGGATCCTGCTACAATTCTACTTGAAAAAGTCACCCCTTATTTGCTTCTCCTCACCCATACCCTGATATTCCTCTCGCCACATCAGAACAATAATCAGGAGCTACCAGCACAGCCAGGCTTTGGCATTTGCAGTTACTGAGCTCAACAAGGATCCGACCCTCCTTCCCAACATGACGCTCGGCTTCCACATCTATAACCACCGGGACCTGGTTGCACTAACGCATAGGAACAACCTCCTACTGCTGTCTACACTGCAACAACTTGTTCCCAATTATAAATGTGACAAGCAGGATCAACTAATCTCTGTTATACAGGATTTTGACTCCGAATCTTCATCAGACTCTGCAGTCTTAATGGGCATCTTCAAGATCCCAGAGGTAAATGCATTCATCTGGAGATCGGTGGGAGTGGTCTGCAGGGGGAAAGACCTTCTCTGAAAGCAGATTTGTCCCTGCACTGGGTGCTTTTCTTTCATTCTGAATGACAGGGCAAGGGCCTTCTCACCTGGTAAGGCTGCATTGAGATCACCTTAGACTTGCTCAGGGATGAATCTAAGGAGAGTATTGCATGACAAATCTCTGGTAGCAATGGGTGCGGTTTCCTGAGATGAGCAACTGCAATTACTATCAGGCATTCTTGTGCAAGCTTAGAGACACAATATCAAAGAGCGTGTTTCAAAACAGACCCAATTCTTCCTGGTATCAGGGAATGAGCTTCCTCACAGGGATGGTTGCAGACCATAATCGAGGGCAGCATCACACAATGAGGTGTATTGGTCCATGAAAGAGTATGTGTCCTCAAGAGAGCCAGGGTTGTGTCATGGTTAAGAGGGTAAAGAAGGTGGGACTGAGACTCTGGCACTCTGGGTTCTCTTCCCCTCTCAGCCTTGGAGTCACTGCAAGAGTTAGTGCCAGTCAAATACTCTCAGCTCAAGCTACCTTGGAATCCTCCCATTGGAAACCAGTGCTAAAGATACAAAGCTCAGTATACGCACACAGTGAGATGCACCCTTGGAATGTGAATACCTCTCTTTCCTGCCATGGGTGGTCCTTCTGCCACGGCTCTATCCCACTCAGTCCTGACATTTGTAGACATCCCTGAAGCAGGTTTGGGCATTTGCTTGTGTCACTAAGTGAAGAGACTCATGATACATGGGCATGGGGGGGGGGGGGACTAAGAGCTTCTCTTTAATACATACATACCCCTTTTCTGAGAGTACTCCATACATTTCAAGTCATGGTTACTGAAAGATGGAAGCTTAGTCCTCAAAAGAGGCATCCTTCTTTCTAACAGCAACCAAATATTATTATGAAATAGTATTAGGATTTCCCCTCCTCTGGTCTCAGATTGCTTCCTTCACTGTATTCAGGGAGAAAAAATGCTTTATCCATCTTTTTCTCAGATTAATACCCGGCATGTTCCTCAGTATGAGAGTCTAGTCCAGCTGCTACTGCATTTCCATTGGAACTGGATTGGGCTGCTTGTCAAGAGCGGTGTCCATGGCAACCGTTTCCTCCAGGCAGTGACCCTCTTGCTGCAGCAGAAGGATGTTTGTGTGGCCTTCACTGAAAGGTTCTCAGAAGCTGAGATACAAACTATATACATTTCTCGTGTGTGGTTGGAAACAGAGGTCATAGTTTTCTTTGGGGAGAACACTGCAACTATGCTATTAACATGGAGGTTGTTTCATCATGAAAAAAGCACTAAAATCCCATTTCAGAAGGTTTGGATTCTGACCTCCCATTCGGACGTGGAAGCGAGCGTACCCTCTGGGTTCAGAAATAATTTCAAGACCCTTCATGGAGCTTTGTACTTCAGTGCTCACAGAAGAGAAGTTCCGGGATTCAGGAGTTTTCTCATGGCATTAGATCCAATCCAACCAAAAGGAGATGCCTTCCTTCATGCATGGTGGGAAGTTGCATTTCGGTGTAAGCTTCTTAGAACTGGGAAACCCCTTCCACCTTCAAAGAAAAACTGTACCAGGAGGGAGATGCAGAATGATCCAAGGACTTTTCAGTTCCAATTGCACATGTCCAGTAACAGCTACCGGATCTACAATGCCATCTACCTTGTGGCACATGCGCTACATGCCCTGTCCTCCTCTGGGCTGAGGTGTTCGATTATGAGGAAAGGGAAGAGGCTTCCGAAGATTCAGCCATGGCAGGTTATGTCTGAATTCAGAGGTCATGAGCTTAGCCAAGCTGCCCTTCTGGTTACTCTTCAACCATTCCTACATGGCAAGGTTATAGCCTGCAAGGAGGTCTAACTTGGTGAACTTACGGGAAACATTCCCTGTGGATTCATCTCTTTTTTAATTTATATTTTATTCATTCTAAGCAAAGGAACAGAAAAAAGCAAACAAAAAAATCATATCAATTGGTCAAGCTTTGGATTCTTCTATAGTTTCATAGACCGCATAGATATCCTAACCTTTAAGTCCATATCTTCCTTTCCAGCCATTCGTCGAACAAATTCCAAGTCTCAGAATACATTGACTCTTCTTTTCTTTTCATCATTAATGTCAGTCTGTCTACCTCTGCACAGTCCTCTATCTTCAGTATTATTGAATCGTTTGTAGGTACTTCTTTCTTCCAATATTGGGCAAAAACAATTCTAGCTGCTGTAATAAATGCGATGCTATATGTAATCTCTAATTGTCATGATTATCAGGCTTAGCAGAAAAATTTCAGGATTAAAAGGTATACATTTACATAACATTAATTCAAGCAAAGTATTTATTTTAATCCAAATTATCTTAGCTCTGTCGCACGTCCACCACATATTATAACATGTACCTTGTTTATGAAAACATTTCCAACATTGATTGGATGTATCTGGAAACCTTTTGGCTAATTTTTCTGGAGATAAATACCAAATTTAAAACATTTTATACAGATTCTCCTTATATGTAGATCCAACTGTCAATTTTGTTTCTCTTCCACAATTTCTGCCATTTTTCTAATTCTATATTATAACCAAAGTTCAGTGCCCATTTAATCATTGTCTCTTTAACTTGCTCATCTTCCTTTTTCACATCCAATAAAAATCTATACATATTTTTAATCAGCTTATCTTCTTTTCTCAATAAAGTCTTAACAAAAGAGGTCTGTTCTTTAAAATGAACTCCCATAAATGTTTATCTCATTTGAATCTGGATCGTATTTTATTCCATGGCCACCAATGCAGTTCTATCCCCTGTAGGAGCAGTTCTTGTTTGGTTTTAAGTTACCCTTCCATACTCAAGATGTTCTCTTATGCTATAGTTTTTCCCCTACTTAACAAATTTGTATGGGTAAATGCTTCCAAAGGTGAGACCCATCCCGGAATTTTATTGTATACTTTAGCTTTTAATTTTAACCATATTGTAATTAAAGAGTTCCTTAAATAATGATTAACAAAATATTTATGTGACTTTAGTTTATCCTACCATAAGAAAGCATGGCACTCAATTTGTCAATCATGTCCTTCCAGATATAAAATTCTCCTATTTTTCTGAACCATCCATTCCCTTATCCATACTAATACACTAGCTTGATAGTATATTGTCCGGTCTGGCAGTCAAAATCCACCCCTTTCTTTTGCTTCTTGGAGAATGTTTAGTTTAATTCTCAGTTTTTTCCCTTTGCCATGTGAATTTACATTTGCCATGTGAACGAGTATTTAAGCCATCAAAACATTCTTCTTTGACTTTATCAAGATGGTCTGAATCAAGAACAGATATTTAGGAAGCGTCTTGATTTATTGTGGCAATTCTTCCCAACTTTGTAATATGCAAGTCCTTCCATTTTTCAAAGTCCCTTTTAACCTCCTTAAACAGCTTTGTATAGTCATCTTCCTTTACAGTTGCAAATCTAGGAGTTAAGCAAATTCCCAAAAATTTAACGTGTTCAAATATTTCAATTCTGGATGGTTTCATTCATTCATCCTTTTGCAGTTGAGTCATGTTTTTTAACCAATATTTTAGTTTTCCTTTTATTAATTTTCATCCCTACCACTTGTCCATACTCTTCTATTTTATCTAGTAGTGTTGGAGTTGTTTCCAAAGGATCTTCCATGATGAGGACAAGATCATCTGCAAAAGCTTATAATTTATACTTCTGGTCTTTAACATTTAATCCCTTACTCTGTGAATCCTCTCTTATGTTCCCAGTCAATACCTGAAGTGTTAACAGAAAAAGAAATGGTGAGAGATGACATCCTTGCCTTGTTCCTTTTTCAATAGATATATGTTCAGTAATATCACCTTTAACTATTATTCTTGCCTTTTGCTCAGTGCAGATGCTCTTAATTGCATTTAAAAAGTTATCTCCAATTTCCATTATCTTACTGGTTTATTGGCATTTTCAAAATAATTCTGTTTAGTTGCCTTCAATATTTTTGCAAGTTCTTCCATTTCCCAAAGATTAACCTTATGTTTTAAGGTATTTAACTTAATCTTCAACATTTTGTTCCTTCAATCCTTTACCACGTCCCCTTCTGTTTTATTGATGTCAGCTACCAATTTAAAATATTCTTCCCTTTTTTTTTATTTCTTCTTGACATACTGTATATTGTATTACAATTTTCCTAAGGACTGCTTTAAAAGTGTCCCAAACATTTTGAGGTGGTGTATCATCGTTTTGATTTTGTTTTAAAAAGTAGTTTAGTTCTTTAGTTGCTACTTCCACAAACTTTTTATATTTCAAGAGCTGTATGTTGAAGGTCCATCTAGTGATTCTTTTTCCTTCTTTTATTATAATCTTTATTTACAGGATTTTGATGAGCCCACACATTATGTAGAATAGCCACTTTTTCTGCTCTTTGGAGTATGTCAGCCAAATCCCAACACATGTCAATTTTTGACCAAGAAAAATGTCTGAGTAAAAAGTGTAAGCTTGTGATGTAGTATTTCTAAATCTTCAGGCATCATGAAGGTGAAATTCCTCAACAATTTAAAAAAAGTTTTTGGTAGAACACATTTTCCCTTTTTCCTCTTATCACCTGTTTTATAGTCCTTTGCAACATCTAATATTGCATTAAAATCTCCAGTGAAGCACATATTTGAATATTGTATATATGCCAAAATATTCAATTTCTTAAATATCTATGTATCCTGGTGATTGTTTGGAGCATAAATTGCCACGAGCAATGTTTTGATTTGGTGTATTGTTATCTCCACTATCATTATCTTTTCTTCTTTATCAGAAAATACTAATTTAGGTTTCATGCTTTAACATATATTGCAATACCTCTTTCCTTTTGCATTGAGGAGGCAGCAAAAAGCTTACTGATTGAGGACATTGCAAATATTTCTCATGCCTTTTTTTCAAATGCGTTTCTTGGAAACGAAATATCTCCATTTTTAATCGCTTCAATTTCATAAATATTTTCCTTCTATTTTGGGGTCTGCTAAGTCCATTAATGTTAGCTGCAAGAATTTCAACCTTCTTATCCATGCTTCATCTTAGATTTAATGCAATTTATATTTTATTTGTATTTTATTTATATCTTGGATGCTTGTTCATCGTCTTGATGTATAACTAAAAGGAGGGGTACTTCCTTTGCCAGATTTTGCTCGACCTTCCAAAGTCACATTCTAAAGTTATCTTCTCATCTTCTAAAATTTAACTCATCCTCTAAAGTTAATTTTCAAATAGTCTTCAAATCAGTTGGAATGTGAAACTGCCAGTGTAGTTCTATGGATGCAATTTCACTAAATTGGCATTGGAAAGTGAGGAGAACATAGCAGAGACTAGGGTGGTGTGGCTTCTTAAAACTGATGTTTTTGCGATTGCGCTCATCAAGAAAGGAAGGTCCAAGCAAGTCCCACCCCAGATACCTGCATATCATCTCATATACGTTGACAGGACATGACTATGGGGCTGCCCTACTGTAAATCTTCCTTCTTGCCAGCATGTGGAAAACCCACATGTTGGACTCCTGGCTGCCTTGAGTGACCCTTTTCTAGCTCCCTGTCAAGATCCGGGGGTGGAAGAATATACCAAGGTAAGATTTCTGAGCCTGTATGCCATCTTATCTGTATGGATATCACCAAAATGGGCTGCATCTAGCAATTAATGTAGACAATAGAAAAGGAAAGAAACAGAGATCCCTTAACTTGATGGGAGTCAGAGTCCCATGGAAGACAATTCCACTTACTGTCTCCTGTTCCAAATCTTTCTGCATTTTCAGATTTTTTATTTTCTGAGGAATGTCCAGTTTAACAATGGTGCTGGGGAGGAAGTCTCTTTCAGTGAAAAAGACAGGAGATATGACATCCTGAACTGGAGCGTGTCTGAAAATGGAACTTTGGAACCTGTGAAGATTGGATGGGTTGATCACAGTGCTCCCCCAGGCCAAGACTTCTCCATCCACTCTACAGAAATTGTGTGGGCCACAAAGGTGGGGGTTGAGTCAACCTTATCGGTCATGGAAGAATAGGCATGGCACAATTCCATATTTTCAGGAAAACATGCTGTGCTTCTCTTTGAGACTGAAGCCCACTAGGTATTTGGAAGTGGGGCACCATTGTCCACTTGTGAGGGAAAACCATTGCTCAAAGAAAATCACATGGTCTTTCCCAGGACTCTTGACAGAGGTTGAAAAAGGAGTGCCTTGCCTGTATTTCTGGATAAGTCCTGTCAGTGGAAGGCAAGAGTGGGCATGATGGATGTATGGTTGGATCCAACAAAGGGTGGCCTCCAAAGATCCTGGTTCTCCCTCAGAAGGGGTTGAACAGGAGCCTCCCTTTCCATTCCCCTCACAATGGGGACTCCATCTGCTTAAGAATGCACAAGTTCTGGTGGAGGAAGGTCTGCTGAATAGCATTTCAGTGCAATTCTCTCTTCTGAACCTGTTGATATTTTTCTTTCTTTCAATTTAAGACAATGCCCCATGCGAGGTGTGTGGAGAGGTGCACCCCAGGGCATTGGAGGAGAGTTCTGGAGGGGAAGCCAGTTTGCTGCTACAGATGCGAACCTTGTGCAGAAGGGATGGTTTCTACCTCTACAGGTACCTCACATAGTATGAACCACATATAAATGCAGAATGTAATCAATTAAGACTGTATCAGAGCCTAAAGGAAGCTCAAAGAAAGGAGAAGATTTTATACTTTTGGAAGTATTTATTCCCCCCATGCCATCTTGCAGATCCCTGTGTTCTTCTACTTTATGAAGTGTTCAATATTTATGGAAGTTATGTTCTTTGTAAATAACATTGGTCTACAAGGAGTAGCTAAATTTTAAGCCTCAGGTGCTAAATTTTACTGGAAGGGGGTCACTAATAAAGGAATATTAAGTTCTGAGTATTAATTGTCTCCGGGTTGCAAGATATAGCTTTTGGTCAAATCGCATCAAAATAACTCAAAATTATGAGGGGGATATAAAATTATGCTGCAGAACTTTTCCACAAAATGTGATATAGGCATGAGAATGGTGCCACCCTAATTATTATAATTTGATCATTTTATTGTTACCGATACCATTACTTTCCAGTCATTTATTGGTTTTCCATGTAATATTTCCATGCTTCTTGCATGAAAAACTGGCAAGCTCTAACATCAGATTAAAGAAAAGCTTCTAGATTTGTTCATTTTCTAAACAGTACATTTTGACTTTTCTCTTGTGAACTGCAGCAGAATCATCCCTGGAGAGATTCCAGCAATAATTGGCAATCATGGATGGACTCCATTTCCCCTTGTATTTTTCTCCATGCCTGCGTTTTCCTGGTGGAATCTCTCCCTGTACTCATCATCCAAAATTCAGGATTGCAAAATGCTTAGACTATTTCTTCTTGTTTAGCCAATGCCACAGATAAGTTGCACGTGTAATGCAACAATAATGAGGGGCCTAACACTTACTTTGCTTCCAAAATATAGGTGGTACGACTTTTTTACTACTAGCATTATACTGTACTTTTGAGGTGCACATGTAACCTCACCACAAATGTAGAAGTAGTGTTGTTTTGTTCACACAGGTTTGAGGCATCTTGGCTTGAGAGGGAAAATATCACTTAACTGTTCCTTGGAAATGTTAGGCAATGACACTTTTACAAACCACCAGATATAACTGTATGATGGGTAGATGCAACCAGGACAAATGTACCTTGCAATAAAAGACCAATATATTACAGTTAGGTAATAATCTTCATACTCTAAGTGAAGATAGATTTATTCACTTCCATATGGTACTATTTTCATTGTTCTACCTTACTTTGTTGAGAACTTAGGCATCGTGGTCAATAGACATCTCCCTGCCTTGTAGGCAAAAGTGTATAAATCCTTACTGTGAAATATCTTGAAAACCTTAGCCGACCAGCACATTTATCACCTGTTGCCTAATTTATCTAATCACAAAATGTAAGAATTAGCACATATTATCTCATAGGGCTACAATTTCCCAAAATTTGTAGACCAGTGCAATGTAATATTTAGTCCAGTAGTTGACGAATGCCCTCACATGCATCTGATTTTCCTTCCCTGCACTCCCACACCCTTTTGAAGAAAGTTTCCCACTTGGTTGAATTTACATGAGAGCTAAAAGTCTTTGGCCAAAATGCTGATAAGAGCAGCTAGTGGGAAATCACTTAAATCACACAATTTTTTTACAAAGGAGAATGTTTTGATTTTATATCCTTATGGCCTGTTTCTCAAAGTTTAACTGAAAGGTATACTTCAGGGAAGGAAAATGAGATTTCCAAATCCTCTGCTCTGGCACCGGAGAAAGCTCTCCTGTATCCCAGTTGAGATAGTTCCACCTCTATTGCTCATTGCAGATGCGGCTCATTGTTCTCTGTGCCCACAAGATCAGCATCCAAATAAGAACCATGACTGGTGCATCCCCAAGAAGATCCACTTCCTTTCCAATGAAGAGACACTTGGTATCCTTTTAGTTACTCTGGTTCTATTCCTCTGTCTTGGCACATTTGCTGTGTTGACAACATTCATTAAATACCATGACACACCCATTGTAAAAGCCAACAACCGAGAACTCTCCTACACTCTCCTCATCTCTCTCCTGCTCTGCTTCCTCTGCTCCTTCCTCTTCATTGGTAGGCCAACAAAGCTCACCTGTCTTCTGCGACAGGCTGCTTTTGGAATCACCTTCTCTCTTGCAGTTTCTTCTGTGTTGGCAAAAACTGTCATGGTTGTCTTGGTCTTTCTGGCCACCAAGCCAGGAAGCATGTCAAGTAAGCTCTTGGGGAGACCCCTGACAGCCTCCATTGTGCTGGTCTGTCCCTGCATCCAGGCTATGATCTGTGCTGTCTGGTTGTTGACCTCTTCCCCTTTCCCAAATCTGGACTTTCATTCCTTGTCTGGGGAAATCATCGTAGAATGCAATGAAGGCTCTGTCACCATGTTTTATGCCGTCCTGGCTTACATGGGCTTCCTGGCTCTTCTCAGCTTCCTGATGGCTTTCCTGGCCAGGAAACTTCCTGACAGCTTCAACGAAGCCAAGTTCATCACTTTCAGCATGCTGGTATTCTGCAGTGTGTGGGTGTCCTTTGTGCCCACCTACATGAGCACCAAGGGCAGGTATGCTGTGGCCGTGGAGGTCTTCTCAATCTTGTCCTCTGGGGCTGGTCTCTTGGGATGCATCTTTCTCCCCAAGTGCTACATCATTGTGTTGAGGCCCAGTCTCAATAGCAGAGAACATCTCATAGGAAAATTGTAATCTACATTTTTCATAATTTGTTCATTATGTATATATTTCTTTAATCATCTGTTCAAAGCTTTTATATGCGATACTATTATGTAAAAATCCCAGTACAGACTACAGTGCATTGAAAAGGAAAGGAAAGGGGGGGAAAGCAATTTCCAATAAGTGAATTGAAAACAAAGCAAAGTATAAAACAAAACAATAAACAGTAAATCACAACACAAAATAAGAGCGACAATAAAATAAAAATCTATTGATTTTAAAAGGCTGTTGAACAGTTAACATTTTGTCCAGGCACCAAAAGGGTATAAGCTCAGTGTCAGGCGTACCTCTCTGGGGGGTACATTTCCGAGTCTGGGCACCACCACAGAGAAGGCCCTACTCCAAGTTGGTGACATTTTACCTCTTTTAAAAAGGGTTCCCAGAGCAGGGCTACTCCTGCAGATCATAAGGGGCATGAGGGCATGTATAAGGGAGGAGACGTTCCTCAATTTATTCTGGTCCCAAGGCATTTAGAGCTTTATATGTCAAAACCAGCATATTGAGTTGAGGCTGGAATTCAACTGGATGCCAGTGTTGCTGGTAGAGTACAAGCGTCATGTGAGAGTAATGGCTTGGCCCCATCAGCAACCTGACAGCTCTTTTTTCCACCTGCTGAAGTCTCTGGACCATTTTCAAGGGCAGCCCTGTGTAGAGCATGTTGCAGTAATCTAAGCAGGAAGTTACCAGAGCATGTATCATTGTTGCTAGGGAGTATTCATCAAAGGAAGGATGCAGCTGGTGGATCAGTCAAAGTTTTAGGAAAGCACTCCTTGCCACCACTGCTACCTGAATCTCCAGTGTCTACTTTGGGTCAAGAGTACCCCTCAGCTGCAGACCTTGTCCTTTAGAGGGAGCGCTACACCATCCAGGACAGGGTCAATATCACCTACCTGGAGAAGTGCACTGCCCACAAACAGACTTCCATCTTATCTAGATTGAGGCTCAGTTTATTGGCCCTCATCCTGCCCATTACCTCGGCCAGGCACCCCTTCATTACAGCCACCACCTCACCTGGAGCAGATGTAAATGTGAGGAAGAGCTAGGTTTCATCAGCATACTGATGACTCTGCAGTCCAAACCTCCTGATGACCTCTCCCAGTGGATTCATGTAGAAGTTAAATAGCATGGGGAACAGAATTCAGCCCTGCCGAACCCCCTGGCAAAGCTGCCATGGTGCAGAGCAACAGTCCCCCAGCACCACCATCTGGAATCGAACAGCCAGATAGGAGTGGAACCAGCACCATGCAGTGCCTCTTACACCCAAGTTGGCCAGCCAATACAGAAAGAGATCAGGGTCGATAGTATCGAATGCCACTTAGAGGTCTGGGAGAAGCAACAGCGACATACTCCCCCTGTCACTTTCCCTGCACATGTCATTGTATAGGGCGACCAAGGCAGATTCAATACCACAACCGGATCTGAAGCCAGACTGAAATAGGTCCAGATAATCAGTTTCATCCAAGAGTGCCTGGAGTTGTCCCACCACCACTCCTTCTAACACCTTGCCCAAAAATGGAATATTGGCCACATGTCTAAAATTGGTGGCCACCTCTTGGGCCAGGAATGTCCTTTTCAGGATAGGCCAGATCACTACCTCCTTCAAAGGGGCTGGGACCCAGCCCTCCCTCAGTGAAGCAATAATAACCTCCTGGACTCAGGGACCAATCCTGTGACTGGCCTCCTTAAGTAGCCAGGAAGGGCAAGGGTCAAGAAGACAGGTGGTACAACATACCATCCCAAGCACCTTGTTACCATCATCTGCCACAGTAACTCAAACTATCCATTAATGATGGACCTGACGGCGATCTGGGCACTTCTCGTACTGGAACCATATCAACTGTGGAGTCCAAATCATGGTGAATCTGTGATTTTTTTCCTTAAAGTGCTGGGCAAATTTGTCACAGTGGGCTGATGAAAGTGCAACCACATCATTTTCCTGGTTGATGTGTATTAGGCCTTGCACTATTTGGAAAAGCTCCACAGGATGGCACTGTGAGGAAGCAATGGAAGTGGAGAACTCTCTCTTTGCTGCCCTCACCGCCACAGCATAGGCTCGATAATGAGCACGTAAGTGTTTGGTCAGATTAACCCTGAGATTTCTTCCACCTGCCCTCTAGCCATCTCCCGGCCTGCTTCTTTGTCCGCAATTCAAGTGTATACCATGGTGCCGAGGGGGTCTGCTAGGTGGGAGAGGTCGCTTAGGAGCTATCATGTCGATTGCCCTGGTGATCTCCCTATTCCTCGAATCTACCAGGACCTTAACAGGAGCGCCAGATTTATCAGCCGGAAATTCCCCAAGAGCCCTCAGAAATCCATCGGAATCTACCTTTCTCAAGGGGCAGTCCATCTTATTAGGGCCCACACCCTTCCAGAGGGAGGAATTGGCCCCAAGCACAAACCTCATGAGGAAGTGGTCTCACCATGACAAAGTAGTTAAGGACAAGTTTCTCACTTCCAGGCCACTGTTTTCCTGCCCCGTCAAGAAAACCAGGTCAAGCATGTGACCTCTTTCATGGGTTGGGCTGGTGATATGGCTTTCATGAAAGCCATGAAGCCCTGAGCTGCCCCGGATAGAAGTGCTGCAGCATGGAAGTCAAAGTCCCTGAGGACCAACATCCTGGGGGTCCCCAGCACCAGCTCCGGGACGATCTCCATCAACTCTGGCAGGGATTCTGCTGGGCAGGAGGGTGCACAGTACACCAGCAGAGTCCCTAATCTTTCTCAGTCACCCAACACCAGGTACAAACACTCAAGACCTGGCCTCAAAAAGACAGGAAGCCCTGTTAGGGGAATGTCGGCTCCTTGAACTAATGCTATTCCCTTCCCTCCCCTCTAGGTGTGATTGCTGTAGCACCAAGTACTCGGTTGGGCAAAGTGAGGTAGACATCTCTCCCTACTCCTGCCCAGGTCTCAGTAATACATGCCAGGTCAGTCCCCTCATCCATGATCAAGTCGTGCATGTGGGATGTCTTGTTGTGTACCGACATGGCATTCAACAGCAATACCATCAGGCCCATGGGTCAGCCCACTATGAGGCACCTGACTAAATCAATTTTCTGAATTACCTATTTTTTACCACTGGAATTAATCTTGAAAATCCCCATAATGATTGATTCTATGTAAAAATATTTATGTCTCCACTCAAGTTTCATTTGGTCCAGTGAGAGTCCTCTGTGTATAATAGGATTAAAGGGACATATTATTATATGCAAAAGTCAATTTGCATATATTGACTTTTGGTCAATTATTTGGTCAATTTTCAAATGTAATTTCCTGTGAATTGCTTGAGAATGATCACAACAAAAGTAGTCACAGAAATCTGTACATATTAGGGAGGAGGAAGGAAACAGCCAGAAATCCTTTGGACTCCATTTTCATTGCCATATCTGTCAGGATATCTGACCTGCAAGGAATGAATGTTTGGCTCCAAATGGGGGCATACAGTCAAGTATCCATCACATTCTTTTTTTTTATTAAGTTTTATTCAAAATTTTTAGTCCTAAAAACAAAGAAAAACTAGAAACAACATCAATTATCAAAAACACTGAGCCTGCTGGAATTCTTGACAGCAAACATGCATTCCTAAATTACAACAGTGCGGAGAGGTCACAATTTTAAATTTGGCTGCAAGGAACAAAAAATACAAAGAGTGTTTTATGGAGCTGGTGTCATGTAAGGATAGAAGGAAGGTGAAGGAGACTTACAATGGGCCATATGCAGGACCACATAGAAGCACAAAATTAGAATACAGAAGTTTCATGAACTCATCAGAATCATAAGGAAAATGTGATGCATCAAGGGCTTGAGTAACTGATATAAAAAAAAAAAAACAATCAAATGTTACAAATTTTAACAGGATTCAGTGTTTGCTTTTACACTCTTAGGAAGGAAATTCCAGAAAGACAATGAGGATCTTTCACAGGAATATAATATTAAAACTTGTTGTGTGAGTGATTAGTCAGCAGGTGAATCTTTTGCATCTCCTGGACATTTCTAGTACCAGGCCAGCCTGGAGGGCCTGCACTCCACAGTAAAGGCTGCTGGGAAGACTCCTGCCTCATCCTGCTTGGAGAAAGAAAACCGCATGCGCGTGTGTGAGGAAATCTTGATTAGCAGGACTGGGAGAAGGTATCTTCTGATTCACTGGAATAGGCTATGCTCAGTCCCAGCAGTTCATTGGCAGAATGCCCAGGCAGCCTTTCTTACAGAGAGGAAACAACTGAGCTGTTGGGTAGACAGTATACCGAAATGGCCATGGGCTTCCCAAACATATGCAGAGCTTTTATAAGTTGTGGTTCATGTACACACACGGTTCATTTCAGGGTGATGATAGGAATGAGTAAATTTACAGAGGACAACATGAGTACAAATAGAACAATCTAATGCTAAGATCAAAAAGAGTGCAAAATTTCCAGTGATATAGAGAGACTGAGTGATCGATGACAAGATAAAGAGTTGAGGGATGTGTATCATAACAGGTTCCAAATGCAGGTTTTACCATCTAGGGGAAGATGGTGACATTAGCTCAAAGAGAATCTATTCAATGCTGCTCCTCACAGCCCGAGAGCTTGCAGCAAACTTCCATTTCACTTTTCACTCACACGGTAACTAAGGTATGTGTGAGCATTCCTGAGCGGATGATCTGCTCTCATCTATATATACTTTTTCTTGAGGAGCCTCTGCCGTGTGTATGAAATGCTCTGCAGGTGAATGCATAAAGAATGGAGCCACCTGGGGCTGCCTGCTTTCCCAGCCGTATTCAG